TGAATCACTCAGGGGCTCCTCCAAAGAAAAGAATAGGCTCGCATTGTAACCCTACTTTTGACCTTGTTGGGTTACATTATGATTATTGTATCTATCCTACCACTACACTAGCTCTAGTAACTATAGCCCGCGTACGGTTGCCGCTTCCGGTGGCCGCCAGCGGCAACCGTACGCGGGCTATAGTTACTAGAGCTAGCCTACCGCTAACCAGACCAGGCTGTGTGACTAAAGGCCGTCGCACACCAGCCGATTTTTCACGCGATTTGATCGGCCCGATAAAAATCAGCCGATATCGGGTAGGTGTGCGCGTTCATTTGTAGACGATTTTACTTACGATTATTTTTATCGGGTGATCGTTCCAAATCAAACACGTTTGATTTTGAAACGATTATTTTGAAGCGATTTTGTGTAATCTGACAAGATTTTGTGGTGTGCGTGTGAACTCTCTACGAATAAATATTGAACAGCCAATAGCTGAACGTGCCCGTGTCACATGACATTCAAAATGGCGCCTACCATAGAAAAAGCGTGGACGAACGAAATTGAGGAAGATTTAAATAATCAATTTTATCGTAGGTGTGCGGGTGTTTATCGGAAGGTGTCGTGATGAGCCGCATTTACAAAACAAGAGATGCCCAGACCGCAGGCCCATGAAGAGATTTTGAAATCGGAACACGTTTTTGGTAGGTTGGACGGCCTTAACGTCAATATATCACAAAAGTCGTCCTAACTAGCAAAACCCGTCTCTTGAGCTAGCTTACACTAGAATTACATATAATGTAAGCGTCCAAACCCAGAGATAGGGTTACAAAGCGTCCGTCATGGTTGTGTGCGGAGGAACGCCCGAGTGAATCACTCAGGGCGGTTTGCTGATGCTTTCAGAGACTAAAACTTCCAAACTGGGTTTATTCTAAACACAACCTTCCTCCGCCGACGGAACTTACTATGTATGCAATACTCTGTATAAACTAATATAAACCTTTACGATAAAATTCGAAGTGACGAGCGCCGAGATATTTTCGGCGGCCATATCTGTTACCTGTGCGTACACATTTCCAATGCGCAAGCTTCAGGAGACGCAGCGTCCTCCGATTGTCGGTGAATTCCGCTCTTCTTCAAAACGAGTACGTCACAGGTCAAAGCAGAATGGCGCCATGTATAGTCGCCGACTCGTACACTTCAATTTTGAACAGGTGTAAAGCTCTCATTTTTAAAGGGGCGCGATCGTGCTCTGGTCGGCCCACCGCGCGGCACCCGCAATTGTGGCCGGGTGCGCGCATGTCATGCGCCTCATAAAAAGTGGTTGAAATCGCGCACCAAAAGTATGTCTATAGTTGAAATAGCGCTCCATAGAGTTGCTCAAGTAGGGGGTACAAAAGGTTAGGGCACACACAACAATTTGTGATGTGTAAGTAACTGAGCGTAGGCAGAGGTACAGGTCTGTTACTACCCTCTGGTTAATATATATATATATATAGAATAAACTAAACAACAGCTTGCATCCAAATACACGGTACCTATACGGTAAGCCACAAGTTACAGCTGCTCGTGTCTACTATACGTGGCGAGAAGTGTTCTGCCAACGTGAAACAGTCGTAGGGCTGGACGGGGCTAACTACGTACAAGTACATGTTGGCTAGTTGTTGATTGGATGTGAGAAATTTTGTGCTGAAATGATGTAGTACATGGATTAGAATCTCTAAGGTGGAAATAGAATAAATAAAACAAGTATTTAGATTTTCGACATCCGATCACCTCTTTTATTAATCTGATGGGCTAAGGTTGGGTTTGTGTGGATGTAAAAGAGAGTATAAAAGAAATAGAATGATTTATAGATATATACAGATATATAAGATATATAAGATATATTAAGATTATATAAGAATATATATATAATAGAAATAGTAAATAAATAGAAATAGTACATAATATAAGATAGTATAAGGAATCTAAAGATATATAGATAATAGAAGAAATAGTCAATCCTGACGAAGCATGAATGAAAATGTGCAAGATGAAGGATAAGTGCTCGAATAAGAAAAAAGTGCTGTCCTGCGGACAAGCCCAGGCATCAAACTCAGTTTCCGCAACAATTTGCTGGTGTCCAAAAAACTATGCCCAAAATACCGTATTTTCCAATCACTAATAATATGCGTCAGGATAAACACCCCAAAAGCCCTTGGTGTAGCCAGGATTTTACACAGGAGGGCCAAAAACAGAAACTGCGCAAAATAGTGGATGACTTAACATTTTAATGGGCTTCACCGCCTCCCACCCCCCCCCCCCCCCCCCCCCCCCCCCCCCCCCCCCCCCCCCCCCCCCCCCCCACCCCCACCCCCCCCCCCCCCCCCCCCCCCCCCCCCCCTCTCCACACCTACGCCCTCTACCTCTCTGGCAATCGTGTCTTGGGTAGCCAATGGCGAAAGGCGACATTTTGTTCAATTGTTTTGCTTCCCAAGAGTAATGTAAGTGGCTCAGCGTGGGGGATCTAGATTCCAGGAGGGGTGAAAAACAAGCAGGGGGAGGTGGTCGCTCCCCCAGAAATTTTGCGGAATGTAAGATCGGCAGGAGATGTATTTGCGGCACTTTGAGTCACGTTACAGTCTTCATTTCTGACTCTCGGCAATTCCTTTTAAAAACTTTGGATCAACATACCAGCCACTGTGTTGTTTTGCATGCGAGAGAAGCACTCGAAAATTCAAAATAATAATGTAATACAAAATACGATCAGATGTAGGGGTGAACTCTGTGGCTTTCGCTGGTTCCTAAAATCGATTGTCACGCCTCTCATAAATCAGAAAACCGACATATACCATGTGGAAAAGCAGCTGGTATGCGTCGCTTTCCAACGACCCTAGATTAATGGGCGGGCCCGCGCAGCATAAGTGCTCTTGGGAAACACTGAGCAAAACCTAAAAGAAAGTGCGCGTTATCGTCACATTTTCTGGTTGTCCACCGGACAATGTCTCAGACTGGTTAGGTGTCCGGGGAAATTCCTGGTTGTAATCGGACAACGGACAACGTTTATTCGAGCACATGATGAAATCATGAGATTTGACATGACTCACCCGAATTTTCCGTTTTGGACTTCACTCTAGAACTGATGATTGGTCCAGTGATCTCGCATCATCACACGCCAAGAGGCATGAGAGAGCCCTCAATAGAGCTTCTCCATGATCCCTTTAAAGGTGTGATGTCTATGGAGCTTTCTCCACTCAATGCTCTTAAGAGGGATTTTTAGTGAGCCTTCCATCATGGCCTCTTAAGGTGTGATTAATGGAGCTGGTTAAATATACCCACTATGTGTCTAGCGGGAATCATAGTAGTCCTCCTGTTACTATTTCAAAACTAAATCGCTGAGGTTATGATTAAGTTAAAGCTCACAATGCGCATCCAAATCGCTAACTGTTCTCCCAGTAAGACCAGCAATATGACCTCGTGTCAGCAAATCACAACTACCCTTATGACAAAATAGAGACTCTAGTTGCTAACAAGCCACCGGGCCCCAATTTCACTGCACGTTTGCTTAGAACCCACAAGAAGAGGTGAAAAACTGCATTCGGCGCATATCCGCCGACTTATCCAAACACAATCGCTGGAAGGTGACGTGACCGTCACGTTTTTATCTTTGCTGCGCACGCGTACCGCTGTAGCAGCAGCCGCTGCAGCGGTGCTTGGGGATGGGAAACTGTCACAACATCGAGAATTTCACAACATTGGAGGTATTGTTCAAAAATCCCGCTAAATTATAAGCACAACGGCAGCTGAAATGCGGAGGAACATAGAGTTATGTTGCAATAGAGTCATGATTATGCATGAACGGAAGTAGTTGCTAGTCTATGTACTGGAGAATTAGCGATTGAATCCGCATTGTGAGCCTTTTAATACAGAGTATTGTGATACCATAGAAGTTTGTGATACATTAGAAGTTCGTGTTGAACTATAAACATTTGGAAGTTCTAGGTCTCTGATAAACGCACCAGCAAACAGCGGCACTTCGAGTGAATGTCCACGGTCAGACTTCATTCGCACGAACCCATACGAGCTTTGTAACCTATCCTCCTGGGTTGGGTTACATATTAGTATCTAGCGCACCACTACACTGTCCAGTAACGAGATAATTCGCGTCCATAAGATCTTTTTTATATTGTTGGTTGAGGTTATATTGGGGACAGCGGAACGGGGTTTCATGAAATTCGTGAGATCCATGCAAATATGCGATCTGCTGTCGAATGCGGCCCCGACGCCGCTATTGGCGCGAAAAAAAACCCCACTACCGTTCCGGTCTACTACTATGACACTTGTCAAATACACCTTGCACCGAATGGTATACATTCATTCAATCGTTATCACAATTCTTAAGATGCGCTGTTTTCAGTAAAACACCGCTTCATGTCCACTTTCGTAAATAACCATTGCATCGTTTACCACCAACAATCAGATCCAATCAGAGCGAGCTCTATCAGCCCTCCTGCAGCCCACAGATTACAAGACGAGAACGTAGGCTATTGCACACGACTCGCTCGATGGTCTGATTGTTTGAAATCGCCGAATGTCATTTACGAAATGGAATGAAGCGGTTTCTGAAAAACCATCTTTTAAGTAAGTGAATAACGATTGAAGGAATGTATACACATATGTGTAGGTCAAGGTGAAAGCAGGTAGACAGGGAACGGTAGGTTTTTTTCTGCGCAATAGCGGCGTACGAGCCGCATTCGCAGCGCAATGCATTTGTGCATGGATCTCACGAAACTAGTCAGATGAACCTCGTCTCCCAATATAAACGTCGACCAAAATGATAAAAAAGGATTAAATGAGGACAGAATTATTCGTTAGCCTGACTTGTTACCAGTGGCAGTACCACTAATTACATTCAGTAGGCTTATCAATAATATCACTTTATCAGTGACAAGACAAGCCTTAACAAAAATATAATCTCCTGTCATAGTATGCACAATAACAACGTACAATTACACACATTAACATTCAAATATACATACATTAAACGTGCTGCAAACTGAAGAACACTTGGAAGCCGAAAATTCTGTTTCACTTATTCCTTTTAGAGTGACTCAGCGAAGAGCCAGAGCCGCACACACCGGTGGTTGCTACTTGGTGGCTTCCGGTTCCTGTGTTCCTTCGCTAACGACAACGATGACGATAATCATCGAATCAGTTATATTATATTATATTTATTTTATTATATCATATATATTTTATTTTATTTTATTTATATTTATGTGAACTAAAACATATTTTACTGTTTATATTTTTCTCGTGGTGCTCGAGAAGTTCATGAGGCTGAGCAGTAGGTACTTGATCCGGACCAGTATCTAATACAAGGAACAAGCATGTATTATAAGCATGACAAACCTCATCAAGTCTAAAAACACTAACGACTTTCTTATAATACATACCAATACTTGGAGTTTACAGAAAAATCGATTTGCTAATAGCACTGCCAGCCCTACCAGATGTTATGGGCCAGTTTCCGAAACGCAACTAAAATGACCATAATTCCTATACCATGTAAATTAACCAAATTTTACCTTTAATCCATTAACATTCATAATAAAAACTCTGGTGTGTTGGGTCGGCGGCAAATACAAGCGTCCTACGATCAATATGGCGCACGCCGACTGCCGAACCTCCTGCCCGCCGCGCGCTCTCTACGTCTGTTCGGGGCGATTGCGTACACAGCTGCTAACACCCCCTCCCCCTCCCCCCGCACACATCAAAATCTCCGATCTATATGAGATCGTTTCTAGTAATTTTGCATGCATAACTGCATACATTCTTAGAAGTAATCACTGTGAGTTTCAAGTTAATTGACCCACGATAACCGCTCTAATGTTAATTAGCTGTTATATGACGGCGCGCAACCGCGATAGAAGTATATACAGCCTGTAGTACGGGTTATATAATGGGTAGAAAGTGTATATTTAACCTACTAATCTCGCAGAACTGTCTGAGTTAGTCTTCTATAATTCTACTGCATATGATACATTCTAGAAATAATGCACTGTGAGTTTCGTGTTAATTGACCCACGATTAACCAATTAATTCGCTGATTATTCACGCGCGTCAAACCGATAGGCTAAACACGGGCGCGCGTGGGGTGGGGCCCGGCGATTCCTCAGGCCCTGTATACGGTTTAATGCGAGGTAGGAAGTGTATTTACCTATCATTCTGCGCCAAACTGTCTGAGTTACGTTTCTATAATATCTTACATGCTAATGATACATGTCTTAGAAATAAGCACTGTGAGTTTCAAGTTAATTAACTCCACGATTTAACCAATTTAATAGCTGTTTAAGACCGCGGTCAAGCCCATAGCTATTATACGCATTCGTGCGCGAAGAAGGTCGATGTTGTGATTCTATAATCTACATGCATAATGGAACAGTCTCTTGAGCTATATCATGTAAGTTTCTAAGTTAATTGACCCAACGAGTTGACCTAATTAATAGCTGTTAATCACGCGCGTCAGCATAGCTATTATACCGCATCATCTCGCGAAAGAAGTCGAGTTGTGGATTCTACGTATTCTACATGCGAATGAGACATGATCTTAACTATAATCACTGTAAGTTTCAAGTTAATTGACCACGATTAAACCTATAATAATTAGGCTGTTAATCAGCGCGGTCAGCCATAGGCATTATACGCATAGTCATCGCGAAAAAGAAGTCATTGTATCTGATAACTTTCTACAGCCTAATGAATCCTGTCTTAGCTATAATACTGTAAGGTTTCAAGTTATTGCCCTAACGATCTAACCTACATTATTTGAGAGTGACTGTAATCACGCGGTCAAACCGATAGGCTTATATAACAGGCTCTAGTACGGGTTTATATAATCGCGTAGAAAGTGTATTTCACCATACATCATCTCGCAACTGTCTGAAGTTCCTTTCTATAATTTTAACATGCAATAACTGATACATGTCTTAGAAAGTAATCACTGTGAGTTTCAAGTTAATTGAGCCACGATTAACCCTAAACTTAATTAGCAAGTCATGCACGGCGGTAGATGCGCCGAGGCTTCTATCGTTTGATTGGTGAGGTGTTATAAGGTTGATACATTCGGAAAAATCTCACGAACGTGCGGCAATTTACTTGACAAAAGGTTCTTATTATTTAGTAATACAATGAACATGTATGCATAGTCTCTGCTCAAATC